TAACATGGAGCCCCCACAGAGCTCTCACCATCTTTGGGTCCATTTCCACAATGAGACACCTGCTCCATCTCCCCCTCCCTGATCTCAACCCATTATCAGGACCAAGAGATGCAGCCCTTATCTACTCCTAGTGACAGCCTGGGTCACTCTCTGTAACTCACTTCCTTGTAGCATCTTTGATTGTGAATTACTTCCTGCCTGGTACTGCCCCTATGACTCAGAAGTTGAGTCTCTACTTGAGCCCACTGTGCAGGCTGTCCACCCCTCAGAGGCAAGAGTTTTGTCTCCATAGCAGACACTGCACTTTATTTAAATAGGCTTTAAATTTAGTGACATGTTATATGGCCTCAAAGCAATTAGAAAAGGCATACGTAGCTTTCTGGTATGATTTGTAGGGGTAGGGGGTCTCAAACTTATTGTATAGCCAAGATGACACTGAACTTCTGATCCTCTACCTCCCAAGTGCTGGAATCACAGTATTGTGCCACCAGGCCTGGTTTAAGTCATGCTGGGATCGAACCTAGGGCCTTGTGCATGCTAGACAGGCACTCAGCATTCCTTATCTTGCTAGGAATGTGCCTATACTGCTGGATGTACTTTGCCAAGTTTCTTGAATGTTGTACACAGATTATAAATCTAAGATAAGTAAATTAGCAAAAAAAAATCGAGCTAGTTCTGTACACTAGGGTGTGGTGATTCCTGATACAGGGAAACGCATCAAAAAGATCCATGGAAAGAGGGAACTAAGAATGGTAGACATAAAGGAAGATAGTGAACTAGTAGACTGGGATCTAGCTAGTCAGTACAGACCTGGCTAGCACAGTGCTTTCCACTTTTCTCTGAGTTTGGAAACCTTTATGATTTTGTTTGGAACACACAAAATTGAAGGCAAGCTGAAGAATCAATATAGGAAATGGTTAAATTAGTGCTGACACAGGCTGCCTTCATTCATCAAGGTGGAAGATTCTGGTAACTTTATAGGAACAGAGAAATTATCCAGACCCAATGACAGGTAGAAGCACCTGCATACAAATCGGTCTGTGTATTTGTGTGTATGTGTGTGTGTGTGTATGTGTGCATGCATGCACACACATGCATGTGTGCATCTGTGTGTATGCATATGTGTGGATCTGTGTGCATGTGTACATATGGGTTATCTGTGTGTATATGTATGAATATGTGGATATGGGTATATCTGTGTATGTGGGTATATGTGTATATTTGCGAGTATGTGTGTATATGTGCATATGTGTATCTGTATATGTATGTATCTATGTGCATGTGTGTATTTGTGGTGCATATGTGTTGTGTGTATGTTCTCTGTATGTTGTGGGCATGTGGGAGGTTATGTAAATGGTGGTGGGGTATGTGTGCATGTTCATGTGTATGTATGTGTGTGGGTGTGGGTATGTGTGTATATATGCTTGTATCACTGTTATTTCCCAGCAGCAGTGTGCCATACTAAGAACACAGGCTTTCCGACAGACACACTGGCCAGGATTCAAATCTCAGTCTTGCCCCATGGCCATCTGGTGAACTCCCAGTGCCTAGGGTTGGTTCCTTCACCAAACAAATAGTATGCTGCTCTTGCAGGGTGGGGAAGATGTGATAACCCCGCTCAGGGTGGCCCTAACTCATTACTGGTGTTGAACACACTCAGGAAGTAGAAGAACGGAACGCTGAACTTACAAACAGGCACTCCGGGAGGCACAGGGAAGCCTGTAACAAGATGCATACTTGGGAGCCAGGGACAGAGACTGCTGGCTGATAATTGGAAGAATGCTGCCTCAGTAGCAAAGACTTCCTGCACAGGGGCTGGTTCAGCAGAGAGGTCTGGGCCTGCTTTCTTTTCTAGTCCCTGATCACCAAGGTCCAGCCTCCTTTGCCTCCTTTGACTGGCTTTTCCATCCCTGTCCCTGACATGTTTGGTTTGGATTTTTTGTTTATTCAGAGAGGGTCTTCCTGTGTAACTCAGGCTGGCTTCGAACTCACTTTGTAGCCTAGGCCGGCCTCATAGCAATTCTCCTGCCTCAGTCTCTCAAGTACTAGGATTACAGGTGTGCACAACCACACTCACCTAAGAGAGTTTAGCATGGATTGGCCTCTAACTCTTGATCTCTGGACTCATCTTGAGCAGCTTGCCTGTTGACATGTAGTACCACAGCAGACCCTGCCCTTGACTTAACATCCAATCCACATGCCCTACAGAAAATAACTCAAACAGAACCTCCTCCCAGAAGCCCATCCTAGACTTGGTGAGTTCCCAACTAGCGCCTCTTGCAGCCCTCTGCCTTTGCATTTTTATGCCATGCATTGCTTATTTAGTCCATACAATTAGATCCCTAGTGCCCAACTCAGTGCCTGGAGCATAGAGCACTCTAGACAATTTGTTGTAAGTGAATTCCAAGTGTTTAGGAAAGTGATTTCACTCTTTGTATATTGAAAAATAAACAGAAAGGGATAAATTAGAACAAAGTATAATGGCGCATATGTATGAAAATTCCATAATGAGTCCCATTGCTTTCTATGCTAACTTTAAGAAGTTAATAAAAAAATTAAAATCTGCTATGTAAGGAAATTTAAGTCAAATGCATTTCATTTATGAACACTGCAATGGAAACTTTTGCCTGATAACTCATGTTCTATTTGCCCCTGCTTCTCTTTAATAATGTTGTTCTAAATTTATATTTTACTGTTTAATATGCTAATTAATTCAAAAAAATCTATTATTTTCTGACTTTATTAACACAACTTTTCCAAATGGATAAATATTTTTAAATAATGTAAACTAAAATGCAATAAAATAAACATTACAAACTATGTCAAAAAAAAAAAAGAAAAACAAAGAGAAAACTAAGGTCAGAAAGGGAGAAATACAACAGACCCCACTACATCCATGCTTATCCAGGAATCGTTATAAAGCTCTCAGCTATTAAAGACACATATAGTATCTGATGTGGCTGTAAATCTTCCCTGGGGTGGGGGAAAGCAAGCAGCAGAAGTTTCCATCCCCAGCCTGTCCTGCCTGGAGCCTGTGTTTGCCTTGGAAGCCCACCCCTCCCCGCTGACAGCTGGTCCACTTATAGGGATCCTCAGGTGTCTGGGTTTCTGTTTTCTAGCAAAAGGAAGTAAGACATCTGCAGTTATGTGCGCTAGCCTGATACAACCAACCAGCATGGTCATGTACTCAGCACCTATACGTGTAAAAACAGCACAGCTGGAAAGGTTCCCAGAGGTCATCTCCAGTCTCTCTCCTTCCTCTTCACTTTGTAGACAGGGAGACTGAGTCCTGTGATAGAAAAGGACTTAGCTAAGACCACACTGCTTTATAAGAATTCACCTGGATAGAGTCAGCCATGTACTTAATACTCAATTTTCTAGAAAGTTGAAGTCAGAAACAGTCTGGCACTCTCACATTTCTTGAGTGGCTGCCACCCAGAGAAGTCCCTCACCCCACAACTGAGGCATTCATTTCCAGAGCCAATGCAAAGGCAACTCATGACAGATCATAGCTGAATCTTCCCAGCACTGCCCAGAGTCCCAGGGCTATCTTATCCAAGATGATGCTCCAGCCCCAGAGGCAGCCTACATGCAATAGCTTTTCATTGTAAGGGCACCAGGCTCCCTAGGAGCAGCTAGACCAGCCAAAGACAAGCCTGAAATTCCATCCCTATCTCTCTGTCTACCTTGCTCTGTCTTTCTTCCCCTCACAGGTGCTGTGCCCAGAGCACTCTGCAGGGAACTTCCCACTCTTGCATCTCTGCCTCAGTCTGTTGCCAGGGAAACCTCACAGAAGGAGATACAGCCAGAGACAGAAAGTAAAGAAGAGCTGAGAAGATGGCGCCACCAAACACTGAGTACCTGCTAAGAACCAGATCTGGTCCTGCAGGGGCAGAATACCCCAAGGCAAACAATGCATCCCTGCAGTCTCCCTCCAAAGAAGGGTCCCTGCTCCCTGCTGCAGAGAAAGCCATGACTGCTTTTCACCTGAGAGACAGTGTCTATGACAGCTGTTGGACCATCTAAAGAAGCCACTCCTGCGAGCTGACACCGTTCAGGACATTCTCAGACTTGATCCCATTTATTGCTTCTCCCACCTTATGAGGAAGGAATTTATGATAACTCTTTTGCAAGAAGGAAGCTGAGCCTTAGCCACGTTACATGCCTTTTCCAAAATTAGGTAACCTGCCACTTTTAGACCCTGACTCCAGACCCCAGATTTGGTACCTGCTTGCCCTCCTTCTGCCTATCCTCTGAGTTTAGAGGAGGGTTTTGTGGAACCTAGCCAAAAGATCCCAAGGGCTTTAGCCATATCTTCCTGGAGCTGAAAACTCAGACTATGCCTTTGACTTGCCTCCTTCTCCTTTTTAAAGAAAACCATGTGTTTCTTCCCTTTGCCAGAGTTAAAGCAGAACAGAAGTTTCACCAGCTCCGATTTTCACAGTTGGGCAGAAGGGTTAACCTCCTCTGCCCCGTGCCTGTTTCTGTCTGTTTCCGGAGCACACGGCAGGAGGCTGTCATAAGAAATGACCTCATCTCATGGGCTGTACCTGCGGGAAGCCAGGGCCTCTAGTCAGGCCAGTGCAGCCCCTCAGAGCCAAGACTTGGGGGATCCGCATCTGCTCCACTGTCCTGTCAAGCTACACAACTCCTTCTGATGTGAGGACCCTGACAGCTACAGCACTGAACATGGATGCTCCTGCTCCCTCTTGTCAGCAACAGCCGCAGAAGAAGCCAGGCAACCTCATCACCTTCGTGGGGGGAATCCCTTGATGTTCACTGCACCCCTCTGCCAAGGACATGGTGAGAGCTTATCCAGCCCCTCCAAGGACAGACAGACCCTTGCCACACGTGTCACGCAAACACTCACACGTGTGCACACACTGTCACACACACTCTGCACCGTGTAAGGAAAAGCATTCTCCCACCCCTCTGGGAAGATGTCCCAAAGGATCAGCCCGGAACCAGGCCCTAGAGACAGATGTTGAAGCTGCACTTACCTGCCTCTCTCCTAGCGAAGATGCGCTTCTGCAAACTCATGAGCCAGGTGGGTGAGGACCCAGGAGAAAGTACCTGCAGACCACACAGCAGTCGACTCCTAGGGGATGCAGAGCTTCTAGGGCTGGGAGTCTGTGAATGAGAGTTACAACTACAAAGTGACTCTCCTTAGAACTGTTTTTCCTCGGCAGGGAGGGAGGAAGGGGAAAAAAAAATCCCTTCCCCACTGCCAGAAAATCCTTAACGTTTCACAACGGCTGCTTCCAACTCCGGCCTCCGTGCGAAGCAATGTGTATAAAGGCGGTGTTATTTCGCTGGATGGAGCCCTCAGATCATAAGCCTTTTCCCGGACCACAAACAGAAATGCAAAAAACCTCAAACTTTCCTCCGGACTTGGAGAACGGCTGTGAGAGGGCAGAACCCAGAGAGGTCGACATATGGAAAATGTGCTCCGATGTTGAGGGCCACCGAAGCACTCTGTGCCCGCCTCTTATGTTTCCAGTGAGTTCTGATGTGTTTATGTACTTGCATGGGACAAACACAACACCCTAAATCCTTACCCAACATTACAGTGATTCATTTTCTCCCTTGAACACCACACACAAACACAGTGCCTGTTCAATCCAAGAGAAAACGCCTTTCATAAAGTGTGCATAGGGCCTGGGCAGAGCTGCTGGTGGTGAATGCAGTCTGTGTCCACAGAGGGGCAGAGGGGCTCTGGAGAAGGTGGAGGCTGACTTTAATCAAGACAAACAGAAGGCTGGGACTCTGGCCCATGTCAGGACAAGGAGGGATCAAAGAACAGGGGACTCCAGCTCTGCTATGGGCACTGTAAATGCTGTCAGCCTTTTCTACACACTTCCCCTGCTTGCTTCCTTATACCAGGGTTTATTTTGAAACTTGGACAAGATGTACTATTATTTTAAGTGACCAATTTGACTGCTGGGTTAAATAAATCCTTGGATTTCTTCACAAAAAGCCCAAAAGAATAAATAAATGGGCAAAGGAAACTGGAAAGTGGAGATCAAAACTTACTCTTAGGGGCTGGAGATATGGCTCAGCGGTTCAGAGCTCTGGTTGCTCTTGCAGGGGCCCTGTGTTTGATTCCCAGTACCCACATGGTGGCTAACAACTGACAAGAACATTAGTTCCAAGTGATCCAATGCCCTCTTCTGACCTCTGCAGGCATTACATGACACGGGTGCACTTAGACACATGCAGGCAATGCCTTCATACATGTAAGGTAAAAATAATACATAAAATATTTTTTTAAATCTTACTCTTAGAGTTGAAGAGTGTGATGGTTTTCTGGGCATAGCAAGGTGAGATTAGACTGAAGGGAAAGTACGCTCTGTTTGATGGACAGAAACTTAGGGACAAAGTGAGCCAGATCCTTGTCCAGCTCTTGAGGTACCTACCACCTGCCAATAATCTGGGCCTTTCCTGGCATGGGTTTCTGTACTGACTGTGCCAAGCCCTTTGAGCTACTTAGGGTCTCCAAGAGTTCCTGCCACTCTCCTCACCTCCAGGTCATCGTGATACCCCTCACACACAAATGTATCTTAGAGCAAGACTTGTTAAATTTTTTCTATCTGTGAACCTCCCACTTTTTCACACTGAGAATTTATTTTTACAAAATACAAGTTTATCTATTTCTAGGTTGTATTTTCTCCTTTTAATTTTTTTTAATGTTTGCGGTTCTCATGCAGTATATTTTTATTATATTTAGATCCCTTCCTCTATCCATACCTCCCTTTACTCCTCCCCAATTTAATGGGTATATATATATATATATATGCCTACAGAGTCTTATTTGTGTTCCCAAATGTCCTTCACTGTGGGTCCATCCCCTGGGACCTGGTTAACCTACCAAGAGTCACACCCTTGTAAAAGACTGACTTTCCCCCTCCCAGCATGCATTGGTTGCAAATAATTCCTCAGGTAGAGTTATGGTTTCTTACTTCTCCACACGTACTCTGGAATTTTGTCTGGTTTGAGCTTACATGGGACTTCTGCTGTCACCATTGCTGCAAGATCATATGAGTAATTGACCAGCAATCTGGAAAACTATCTCCTTGTGATCATCCACTACCTCTGGCTCTTGAAATCTTTCCAAACCTCCTCCCCTTTCCACAATGATCACTGAACCTTGGGGGGCAAAAGTTTGATATAGATGTCTATTCAGGGATAAGCTCTCTGCAGCTTCTTGTCCTCTGCACGTTAGCCAGTTGTGAGTTGTTAATCACCATCTTCTGCATAAGGAAGCTTCTCTAGTGAGAGCTGAGAGATGCATTAATCTGTAGGTCTCACAAAAGTCATTAGAAGTCAGTTTAATATTATATCTATTTAGCAGAAAACTAGAATTAGGCTCTCCCCTATGTCCTGTGACCTTTTTAGCCTCAGGTTCCAAGGCCTGATATCAATGTCAGGCCATCCTATGAGCCCCATCCTATGAAGCAGACCTTAAATCCAATTAGAAAGTGATTGGTTATTCCCACAATATTCATGCCACTAGTAATTGTACCAATGGGTATAGTTGTTGTAGTTGGATAAAGTTGATCATTAATTTTCTCTTCAGGTAGTATGCATAGCACCTTCTAACACTGTCTCCCTATTGGCTAATTCCTCCAATGGGCAGGCCCTGATGCAGAGTGAGGACTATGAAGGGGCTGCTGGGGGCCATCTTGGGACAGAAGCCATGAGCCACCGGTAGCACACATGGTGTGGGGGACGTGAAGCCAGCTGCTCAGCAGCCGAAGGACAGAATAGACTGACTCTTGTGGACGGGGCGATCGCTGGCCCAGGAAGGGTGAGCGAATGCTAGCGGTGACTATGGGTGCAGGCACGGTCTGATAAGGCAGGTTCTGAGTCGCAGCACAGGGCACTGGGTACTCATTCCTTTGTAAGTTAATAAACTCACATAAAATATATAGTTTGTCTGATCGCACAGGAGACCCAGAGGGAACTCGGGCCACAAACACCATGAAAGCCAGCCAATAAAGATAAGGCTTTTAAATCTGCACCAGCTTGATTTCTCCTTGTTTGTTTGACCACTCATTTATGTAGTGTCTTCAGCAATAGGGTCATACCACGAAGTTCTGATGGATAACCAAGAGCAGGGGCAATGGCCGGTATTGCTTGAGAATCTATGAGACCCCCTGGTCAGCAGCTTCAAAAGAGGGAATCCATCTTTGGCACTGGGCTTTTACTTTGCTACCCTATGGTATCTAGTAGGAGCAATGTCCTCTTGCTATAAGGTAACTCCTTTTAATCTCTTTTTATAATGTATATGTATATACTTTAAGAAGCTTCTATAGTGGTAGGTTTCCATATGGCTCTTTATAAAGGCCTTGAGTGTTATTTATCTCTTTCTATACTCCTTCCTCTGCCCTGCCCTTCCATTCAAGACACCTTTTAACCAAGAAATTTCTTTGTGACCCTGAGTATATAGGTATATAAAATAGATATTCAAATCCAACTTTATTGACGATAAATCATAAGGAAATTTATTTTAAAAAAATTGACTTTGACATGTAAATATATAATTTACCATTTGTTAAAGAAGAAAGCAAAGTTGTGTACTAAGAAGAAGAATGTGCTGGCTTATTTTTACATAAAGAATTAAATCTTGAATATTGGAAACTACAGAACATAAAGTATCTTCAACATTTTTTGAATTGATCCATATTCTGATTTTGAAATCATCAATGCTGAGAACATTACTTTGTATAATAAATATGTATGTAACAGAAGGATGTTTAGAACTATTTCACAAATGATTGAAAATTCTGTTCCAATCACAAGCTTAAATTCATTCAGTGATTCTTGATGAAACTCAAATCAGCAATCAAACTGCAACTTTTTTTTAAATCAAGCAATCCAGCACAACACAATCCAAACCTACATTAATTTGATACTTACATGCTGATGCGTGCTGGTAAGAAAGTAGTAAGCTTTTGTTTTCATTATTAAGCCATTATTTTTCAATAAGAACAGGAATATACAGTTATATAGAGAGCTGACAAACAAACATCACTGCAATTCATAGCACAGCCTGGAATCTGAGCTGAGAAGTTTGAGGCATCACATCTGCATTGTGTGATGTGACAGTGCAGCGGTGTGCTTAGGGCGCAGCCGTGTGCACAGGGCATGGCGGCAGTGAAACTGAGGGACTCCATGTGACAACGACCAGTGCTGCCAGGAACTCTCTGGATTTGGTATGCATTTGATTTTGAATTAATTTTTGGTCATTGCACATTCAGAAACCTTTTACTGTAGGCCAAGTTTCTCACAACCTTCACATTGGGTTGTGTGGCCCACATGAGTTGAAGAAACTGGACCTAGATCTTCATTGTTTCTCAGACCAGCAGAGATGGTTGCCAGAAAAGCCTCCGCTGTCAGCATCTGAGATCAGAACAGCTCCAGAAATGTCACCCTGGGTGAGGTGAGGACCCTGAGTGTCACGCCATCAGCCCTATTTCACTCTGGTTAACTAATGAACTTCCGAGGCACTTGGGCCTGCAGGATGCACCAGCAGAGCCTCACCCTGCCTGGCATTTCTGTGTCTCCAACTGCAGCGGCTTTGGAAACAGGCTAAATAAACAAGGAACATACTGGTGATATTTATGGTCACAGGAAGAGATCTGCAAGATTTTGCTGAGTGAGACAGTTTACAAGAACAGGGTATATTGTTCATCCGCCTACTTGAAATGAAATGAAATTTGGAGAAGTAAAACTGAGTTGCTTTTTATTTTCATGAGTAGCCCTTTGTGTGATCTATTGCATTAACTCCACAATTCAGGAAGGAGCAATCATGTTTGACTCATGTCATCTATGTAGGATGATAGAAGAAAGTAATTTAAAACATTGGGGCAGAGGGGGGTATTGCTGGTGGAGCATTTGCCTGGCATGGATGGGGTGCCAGGTTCAATTGTGCTACCACAAGAAGTTTCAAGTGAAACCATTGTCATTGATATTCCCAAAGTGAGTTTATTAAACCAGTGGTAAAGACTATAATCTTAAAATCTATGACATTTGATAATATGAATTAAGCCTTTGGAAAATGAATTATTACTGGTTGTGATGCACAGAACCCTGACCCCTCTGGAGATATCTTTGTCCTGCTCCCAGGAACCTGTGAAGGTGTGATGTGATGTTACGGTACATAAGGGGTACTAAGACTGTAGACAGAATTAAGTCTAATAATCAGCTGACCTCATAATAAGAGCATTAGCCTCAGGGCAGGGGAGATGGCTCAGCTGGTAGAGTGCTAGCCATGCAGGCTTGAGGACTGAGTTTGGATCTCCAGCACCCCTGGAAAAAGCTGGGTGTGGTAACATGCATCTGTAGTCTTAGTCCTGGGAGGACACCACAGGAGGATCCCTGGAGCTTACTAATCAGATAACCTTGCTAAATTTGATAAGCTCCTGGTTCAGTAAGAGGAAACCTGTCTCAAAAAAAATTAAGGTGGCATGCAATAGAGGATGAGACTTGGCATTGACCTCCAACTTTCACAGACACACAAACCCCTACATACAAGTATCCCACACACAAAATAAATGAATAAGAATTAAAATAAAGGATTATCCTGTATCATCCAGACAGGCCCAATACAAGAGTGCTTAAAATTGGAAGAAGGGCCAGGCCTATTGGTG